AGAGGGAGGAACGACGGGAGAGCTAGGGTGTGGAGGCGAGCTTCCATTCTTGAGCGATGGCGGTGCGGAGGCTGAGCAGGAAGGAGAGGGCAGGGAGGGGCGGCGGCGAGGAGAGGAGAGGAGAGAAATGAGAGGAATGATGCGGTTGGGCGAGGGGCCGAGGGCTGAGAGGTGGGAGGGGTTTTCTGAAAAACTACGAGGAATTTTTTGAAACACTGACCTGATTCCAGGATTTTTCCTTCATGTAAAGATAAAATTGAACTCAGGGTTCCGTATGCAAAATATTAACATGTTTACTGTTCTTGGTGGACAAAATTAGACTGCGGGTTAGTTCATAGAAAGATAGAGGGATTTTTCGCAAAATGTATAGAGACAGATGTCGACCCAGCGATGAGCCACGGATGCTCCGAATGCTACGGCAGAATCGAGTGGTTTTTAACTGACCCTGATTTTTTAAGTGCTAAAATTTGTGTTACATGAATCTTCACCTTTGAATTTTAATGGACTAATGTTTACATTTCTGAATTTCAAGTTTAAAACAATATCTTACTCCAATTCTTGCTATATAACATCTCACAAGGTTCAAATTATTTGTATCCACAAAGTTTTAGGTTAAGACTAGAATAATTTTATCTTAACAAACTACTAAAAGAGAGTACCGAGATATAAACTTTGAACTTGCACAAAATCGATAGAGCAACAATTCGTCATTTTTTATAACAAGGGATTCGACCAATCCTTGTGTACAAAGCTGGGAATCATTTTTTAGTTATTTCTTTTTTAAATATGTAAGTGAACTAAAGAAAAAACTTAAATAGTTTGGCGTGGTAAAACAAAATGGCTAGCCAGAATAACTCGATTCACTGGCAATGGAAAGGTGGTCCGTGACACGTATCGTTTTTATGACGAGGGATTCGACCAATCATTGTGTACAAAGTTGGGAATAACTTTTTTAGTTCTCTTTTTAAATATGTAAGTGAACTAAAGGAAAAAAAAACGTAAATAGTCTGGCTTGGTAGAACAGCATGGGTCGTACGAGTAACTCAAATAATTGTAGGATTCACGAGCAATGGAAAGGTGGTACCTAAGGCAGCGTTTGGTTGCTGTAATCTATCCATACATGCATCGTTTCATCTTGGATAGGTGCCTGGGGCCCACCTGTACTACCGTTTGGTTGCTGGATTGAATGAATCCATCCATGACTGAACGATCCGAAGCCACGGAATATCCTCGATCGATGCTGTATCGTCCTGTGCGGCAAAAATCACCGACTGACGCCATCCAAGACGCCGGACGAAGCGTCTCGCTCTTCTTTCCGCCTCGCCAAGCTCGAGCGCGCGTCGCTCGGTGGCTGCTGTCAGACTACCAGACGGTTCGTGGCCGACGCGTGGGAGCAGGTGGCGGAGGGCCAGCTCCTAGCTGCACGCACACAGGAATGAATGCGTCTAGTACCTAACAGCGAGTGTACTTTTGTTACGTGCATTCGATCCATACGGCACTCCAACAGATGTGCTAAAATAAATAGTCAAATTTTATAGTTTAGTTTTTTTTAATAAAATATAGAACTCCTAAAAATAAAAGAGTTTTCCAACATGCTTGTCGTGTCACCAACTACCAGGGACCTATTCCTGACACTTGAAATTTTCCACGGACCTATTCCTTCGGTCTCATCCGCAGCAATGTCCTGACGGCTCTGCTCCTTCGCGTGAATAGAAGACTGTGCGTTCTGGGCTCCTATCGGCGACATCGCCATTGCGTGCATCACCAGTACGAGACGCTGATCTTGGTGGCAACAGGCTGCTGCTACCCTGTAGGTGTTCCCAGCGGCGGATCCAGAAAAAAATTTAGGGGGTAGCCCCACCTATACAATAGAACTTTGTCTAAAAATTCATGGGGCTCCAGAGCTCCGGTATCGGTAGGGGACCCCCCCCGCCTCCCCGACTCACCGTTGAATCCGCTGCTGGGTGTTCCGACCTACGACCTATCATCGTGTATGTTGCTTTGCTTGATATCAGATGAGTAGATACATTGTTCATGCATCAACATATATATGTGATGGTGCAAACTTCAAAAGCATCTCCTTTACAGAATAATATAGATAACAAGATTCATGCAAGAACATTAATCAATCCGATATGCTGTGAACTAAAATGTTTCAGAAAATTAGACATGTCTCACACTATGCCCAAATCTAAAAATTGAAGATCATGGTACTACTAATTTCCAAGCCGTCTTGCAAGTATTTTCTTTGATTGATCATTGTAGAACTCTTGCTGTCTTGTTGATATGGTGCTCATATCAATATTCATAATTCTTTTTTCTTCTCGATCCTGCTCGAAATCAAATTTTTCTTTGTTAAATTTTATTCTTTCTTCCTGCAAGGCAAGGGATTTTTGGCACATCTCTTGTTTCTTCAACTCCCTCTCCTCTTTCTTCAACTCCTCAGCATCCACCTCTTTCTTCTTTGCCAATAAATAATCTAAAGCTTCAATGCTCGAACGCTGCTTTAATTTTTGCTTTTCCTTCTTAGTCCCTGTAGGCCTCTCCACTGTGGTTATTGTGGTTCGAGTCTCAGCTACAGTAACAGTGACAGAGTTTGGTGCATCAGTAAGCCGGAGTTGAACTGGCGGTGGTCTTTTGCTTTTTGCTGAATGGTTTCTGAGGTCCAGTTGGCTGGCGTCTATTCGTCCACTTCGAGTGGTCTTTGAGCTTTTTCCAGCAATGTATGTACTGGAAAGTCCTGTGCAATGGGTCGTCATTCTTGTACATAGTTACTGCGTTTGCTTGCTGCAATGGGAAACAAAGATGACACATGAGATTAAGCAAAAACATATAGGAAATTAGCATGTGAAGGTAGGTCATCTAACCTTGTCATCAACAGATGCACCCTGATTTTGGACCTCTACCTTCGAAACACAGCCGGCAAATATGTTGCACTCATGTAGTATACTAAACCACCGACTCATTAGAGAGCTTTGTGTGCGATCAGATTCAAAATCCTTGTGTGAATGAAAGTAATCATGTATTCTTTTCCAATAGGTATCTTTTAAATGATTGACTCCTCTCACAGGATCCAAACTCACATTTAGCCATGCTGACACTAACATCTCGTCCTCTTTAACAGTGAAATTTTTGAACCTTTTTTAATTCCTTTGACCGTAGCAGGGACCTCATCACGCGGTTGTATTTCATTATGAGGTGGGATATTGTTAGACATTACACGTGGAGTGAAACCTTCCATAATCATGTCGGTCAAAGGGAGAAGTCTCACTGAATCCATTTCGGCTGTAAAAACAAAACACAATGAACTGAACAAGGAACAAAACACAAGGTGCATTGTTTAGATGTAGTAAAAATTATTGCCTAATAATTTTCTGCAGACTGAGAGGGTGTGCTTGCCCAGATATACTACAAATTATAGCCTAATAATTTTCTACGGACTGAGAAGGTGTGCTTGCCCAGATGTACTAAAAATTATAGCCTAATAATTTTCTGCAGTCTGAGAAAGTGTGCGACCAGATTGTGTATCTTTGCGTGACTCTTCTGTAAACAAGCAACTTAATATATTGTGTAAAAACAGCCATAAGCAATTTTTTCTTCTCATGCACTGCCAATTAGATGAGTGATCCCAAAGACGCTGTACTACTATGTGAAAATTGCACACATTTTTCAGTTGAACAGACGCACTTTAGCTCTAATTCCATACTGATGACAGAACGATTTAGAACGTTCAACTGATGAACTCATGATTTCAACATGGACTGCAAACTTGACTCACCAGAGCACACGTCGAGGAATGGATTCGTTGCGGCAGCAGCACTGTTGGGTGGAAGGACTCGTCGTCGCTGGCTTGCTTGCGTCACATTCTCCAACCAAGGCAACACCGGTGAGTCCTGCTCCTCCCATCCGCCTGACGCCGGAGCAATGGGGACTGAATATAGGGCAGCGCAGTTGGGATCTCCCCAGCGCACGTACGGCAAAATCTCTCCATGAGGATGCTGCGACATCACGACGAAGAGGAAAAGGCTGATTCCGAGGGGAAGCAAACAGTAGCTCCGACGGTTAATGGGGCGACGGCGGCGGCGGCAGGGGAGGGGAGGAGGCGATGGACGACTGGGAACCAAATCGAGCAGGCCGGGCCTGTGATCCCCATGATTGGAAAGTGGATGCGGGGGAGGGGAGGAGGCGATGGAGCTGAGGACCGAATCGAGCACGCGCGCGGGAAGGATTGCGCGTGCGATGGGAAAGTTCAGCATGAGCGTGGGAAGGATTGCACGCGCGGGCAGGCACCATGGCGAGCGATTTCGGCAGATGGCTAGCGAGCGCGGCGTGCTATCTATGCTGAGAGAAATTCCAGGGATAACATGTTTGCTATTTTAGAAAACCATATAGCACACCCGTTGGAGCTCAATTTTTGTTGTAAAATTCCAAATAAAGCATACACAACAAGGATACCACATCTGTTGGAGGCATTTTTTTTAGAAACGAGAAGGCATTATTGTAGGAGCATATTAATATAATGTAAATTAATGGTGATTTCTCTTTCGTAAATCCATCTATTATTTTTAGGATTAAATCCACTTTTGGTCCCTCAACTATTGTGTTGGTCTAATTTTAACCCTCAACTACAAAACCGTCTAGTACCAGTACCCCAACTGTCAAAACCGTTCACTTTTAGCACCTGGACGGGGGCAAGGCTGTTTTGACCGACGTTGAGCGGTTTTGACCATGCCACGCTGGCGTTGATCGCCATGTAGGACGTTTGCCTGCATCTCAGCGACATGTGGGGCCTGTGCGTCACACACTCATTCCCTCCCTCTCCTTCCTCTGGCTCCAACAACATTCGGATAGTGCAGTCGAGTCGTCGTCGCCGCCACCGGACAAGCAGGCTGATGCGCCATGGCCGGCGAGTGCAGCTACTGCACTACTGCGAGGCGGATGGGGTGACCCGGCAACCGGGGCCATAGGCGCCGATGGGGACGAGACAGTGAGGTGCAGCTCTAGTTGAGCCATTGTCGGGCTAGCGCGTGTGCGCTGCTCCGCCACCGGACGAGCAGGTGGCTGCGCCTTGGCCGACGAGCGCAGCTGCTGCACTGCTGCCAGGCGGGCGAGCACGCCCCCACTGCTTTACGCCAGCGCCGTAGGTAGTCGGCCTTCCCCTGCATCCAGTGCGCCCACACGACACGAAGCCACGTCTCGGTGGCCTTACCAGAGGCGGGCTTCAGAAGCAGCGCGTCCTCGATACCGGTGATGGACGAGATCTCGACCCGCAGTTCCAGATCCACCAACTCGTCGTCCGATCCAAAGGCCGTGGCGGCTATCCGACATGGGGAGTCGAGGCGCGGCAGCCCTGTAGGCCGGGATTCGGTGGAGGAGGGGAGGTAGAACGGCAGGCGAGCGGCGCCGACGACGTGGTCCCAGACGAGGGGCGTGGCAGCCCCCGCCATAGAGGCATAGGTGGAGTCGGCCGTGTCGGCGCCCGCGGCGTCCTCGTCCAACACGTCAAGCTCATTGACGCGGTCGTCGTCGGGGTTGGCGAGCGAATCGCCCTCGGTGGCGGTGGTCGAGCGTGGCGGTCACGTCCTCGTCCTCCTCGTCGACGAGGAGAGCGAAGGAGTTGTTGGAGTCGACAGCGGGCGTGGAAGAGCGGGAGTGGTAGGCGGATGTCGGGGAGCGGGAGGAGGACGAGGAGGAGAGTCTCGAGTAGAGGACGGCGAGAGAGAGGAGCAGCAGGAGCATGGCCGCGGTGGCACAAAGCTCGGTGGAGCTAGACGACACACAAGTTGGGCGACAGATTCGACAGCCCTCGGCCGCCATGCAGCAGCGCAGCAACTGCGCTTGCCGGCCATGGCGCAGTAACCTGCTTGTCTGGTGGCGGCGGCGACAACTTGACTGCACTGTCCGAATGCTGCTGGAGCTGGAGAAAGGAGGGGAGGGAATGAGTCGGTGACGTGTGAACCCCACATGTCACTGAGATGCAGGCCAGGGTCCTATGTGGCGGTCAATGCCAACGTGGCATGGTCAAACCCGTTCCACACCGGACAAAACATCCTCTTCCGCGCCCAGGTGCTAAAAGTGAACGATTTTGACAGTTATGGTACCAACACTAGATGATTTTATAGTTGGGGGTTAAAATCAGACGAACACAATAGTTGAGGGTCAAAAAGTGGACTTAATCCTTATTTTTAAATTATTGTTGCATTCGTAATAGACTAATAGTAAATTTATACAAATATGTCTTACAACTAAAAAATCTTAGATGGACCAGTACAATTAACCAAACCCAATCTTGTACTAACTCATACCATTTCATACCACCATCCAAACAAAAGCCATGTATTATACCATACCATCTCATACAGAATTGTCTCATCCATCCTCAGTCCATCTAGGATAATCCATCCCATCCACCTCTATGCACCTAACCAAACACTATCTAATTGACTCTCACTTAGTTTAATATGAAGCATTGGACCGGGTAATAGCCCATTTGTCTGAAATACAATACTATTTGCCTCTTAGTTTTCACACGTTGTAAGGATCTAAGTGGCCAACGGGGGATGAATAGCCTATTACAAATTTCTCTACAAATATATAACACTAGAGCAAAGTGGTTAGATTAAAATACAACCCTAATAGTTACTACTTTGCCTAGCCTAGTTCACCTAATACAAGCCTCCTACACAAGTCTCGTAGCAAGTTACCACTATTAGACAAGCAAAGAGGCTAGCAACTAAACAAGCTACTCCTAGCTGAGCTCAGCAAGTAAAGCAACTAACTAGCTACTCTACTCAACTGCAACTACAACTACAACTACAAACCTACAACAACTAGCAACAACTACACAGGCAATTGAACTAGTGTAAGTGCAATCTAGCCCTAATATGAGTTTTGGTGATAATGACCACATAATTAGAGGAAATTATACTTTTTCGAGTTGAAAAGTAGGTGAAAAAGTAAGGACGATGCTAAGTAAAGTAGTGGAGCCCCCAATTACAAAAGATTGTGGTGTTGGACTCAACAAAGGTTTAAATTTGTTTTATACTTTGAAGTTGAGTATATGAACCACCATGCTATCAAGGGGATGCAAATACACAAGCTTTAATGTGTAACCAAGTGTCAACTCAAAACCACCATACAAAAATTCTCACACAAAAAGCAAAGCCAGCCAAAGCCTAACTCCTACCTTCAGCTATCGGGCTTGGGAAGAAGTGCCGCATATTATGTAGCACTGCCGCACTGTGACACTACCCACAATATGCGGCACTGTCGTGACTTAAAGGTCAGTTGGGGGGAGGATGTATTTATACCTCTTCATTCTTCCTCCTCCCAACGGCTAGCTCATTCATTCACTCCTAACAACCAGCAGACAAGCTCCTCTCTAGCCATTAAAGGCTCCCAACCTCTCCCCATTGATTCCTAGTGATTCCTTGATAGATTGGTCTCCAAAATTGACAAGAGAGCTTGCCAAAACAAGCTCTAACTCCTAGAGCACTTGGTTCGCATTCAAGCCGGCGTGTTGCATTTGCTACTCTTGGAGCAAAAGCTCCTAGCTGGCTAGGCTTTGCCCGTTGAAGCACTACAACATCTTGTGTGTGCTCTGGGAAGTTTGTAACTCTCCCAACATCTAGTAAGAACTCTCAACCAAGATACTTGTTATCTTGACTTGAGAAGAGGATAGGGTTTGATGAAACCGAAGCCTTTTTGGCTTCCTCAACAACATGGAGTAGGCAAGCCTTGTTAGCGAGCTGAACCATAGGATAAATCCTTTGTCTTTGTGTTCTTGCTCTTTGTATCGTGCTCTACTTTGTATTGGTTGTGATTCTAGGGGTTGCTCCCGATCAATAGGGTATATATAACCTCAAGAACATCATTAATTTACTCGATCTAGTATAGTTTTCATTCATTGTATTTTGAAAGGTGTTCTCAAGGTGCTCTGATACGCAGCAGTACCAGTGATGCGTCTTTTACTAACTGCTGCATTGAGTTAAATTTTAAATAGGCATATTCACCCCTGTAAGGATCTCTGGTAATCCTAGAGGGGGGATGAATAGTCCTATTTAAAACAAATCTCAATCTTGCTATTAGTAACCTGTGCGGCACTGCCACTCCACCTGACAAGCTCGAAATCACAATTCACAATCTTCCGAAGAAAATTTAGGTTGAGTAATTTACTGAGCCTCCTGGGGTACTGTAGAGCCTATTTCACCACTTGAATGTAGTCGAAAGATTATGCACGAGTAGATCGAGACCAAACCCTAGAATCACCAACAAACAAGTATAGCACAATACAAAGCAAGAACACAAGAGAGACAAGGTGTTTATCCCGTCGTTCAAGTCACCACCAAGACTTACCTACCTCCATGTTGTTGAGGAAGCCACAAAGGCTTGGGTTTCGCAATCCCTATCCTCTTTCCCAACTCAAGAGAGCAAGTCTCTTGATTTGAGAGGTTCTTATGAGAAGAGTGGGTGATTACAAACATCTTGGAGCTTCCACACAAGTTGGAAGCTTCGATGGGCGACATCTAGCCAGTTAGGAGCCTTGCTCCAGGAGTGTTGACAATCACTAACATCAATTATAAACCGTCCACATAACCTGTATTTATACTTAATTCCATCACCAAATATAGGTATAGGGGTTTAAACTAATAAATTCCATGAGTTTTGGTGAATCTGTGTTTTCAGCAGGGTTTATCCAGAAAACTATCAAGGGGATCTATTCGTAAAAGAAAATTACGGAATTCCACCACGTAAATAGCGTGGAAAGATTCTAGAAGACTCCAGGAGGCTCTCCACCGAAGTAGACCCCGAGGGGCTGCCATGTGGGGCCGGTCGGCCCCACCTGCAGGCCGCCCGACACCTAGGCCCACCTGTCAGCCTTTGTGTGGCAATGTCGGTTCTCTACCGCCTCCTAGGTTGCATCTACGCTGTCCTTTAAGTCATTTTGATCCAAGGGCTCATGTTGGATGCTCCGGCCTATATATACCAACCCTTGCCACCCTCCCTGGAGCCATCCTAAAACCCTAATTCATATCATGAGGATTAGAGCCATCTATCAAGAGAAGATTAGTCCTCTATAGGATCTAGTCTTGTAAATAATAGTGAGATAGAGAGTGAGGGAAGAGTTTGGAGGAGGTGCCGGCCTATCGGTGCTCTCTCTACGGCTTGACCTTGGTAGATCCAAGTTCTACTTGAGCTTGCCTTCGAGATTTCTCTGGTAATCAACTTCTGATTAAAGTAAGTAATTGTTTATATTGTTCATCAGGATCACGACTCTCTTTTGAGTGCTTTAATCTATAGACGTCTAGGTTAAAGTATTAATCGTAAGTGTAAGTGTGGTGCTTAGACTTAGGTTAATCGTGGATGCACCCTACATTCTAGATGGTGGTACACTTAATTTATTGTAAATATCATTGAACATGAGTTTTGGACTAGAAATTTAGATGTGTGGTGGATCTATACTCTTTTGGCCTTAGTGTTTTGTTTATAGCTAATTATTTTCTAAGTTTCTGATCTGGAACAAAAAAAGAAATTAAGTTACATTGATTTCTTTTACATTTTAACATATCCAGGCATCAGACACTGCATACTTTGAACTACCCTGTGTTACTCAAATTGTCAATTCTATAGGCTACCTAATTTGAAATTTGTGCTAGATTAAGTTACCTAAAATATATTGGTTATGCTCAATACTAACAAACAGGGGGTGTCTCTTCTGAACATTGCAGGCTAATAGTTTAAATATGGTGCAGCTACATCACATTGCCGCTGATTGTGATTATTTCTCTGATACTCTTCAAATGCAAACCCAATGGATTGTTAGGTGAGACCAACACTTGTGCTCTCTGAATTGCGGCAAGAGGATCAAGGTGCTCATGGTGGCTATTTTTGTTAGTTGCGAAAGATTTAGTGGTCTAAGCAAATCATATGAGTTGTGTGCTGTACAAGCCAACATCTTAGTTTTGTAGGTACTTGAGTGTAGCTTGGTTATTGCCTTAGTATTTCCTGTGGAAATTTGTACAAAAACAAATGTTGATGGTTTCAATGAAAACGATGAGCAATGTTCTGTCAATTGTGAGCTTTGTTCTAGTTTATGTGTTTCATGAGTGTCTTAATGTGTGACAAGGTTAATGTTTATTGTATCGTTAATGCCGTGATGATTTGGCACTAATTTGTGATGTTCTTTTTCATCACTATGGTTTGGATCCAGGCTTGGATATTGGCTGGTTATAGGAGACGGACAACTATTTCATGATGGGCACAAATGCCAATCTGTGATGGCTCAATTCGGTCCAACAAATGTATAACGCGGGATACATGACATTTTTTGTGATTGTCATCATGAGTTAACTATGACACATTTTTGCTTGTCCATGACCAAAGTAAACCGTCATGTATAAGGGTATTTTTTGTAGTGTCATCAAACACCAATAGCTGGCGTGCCAAG